TATTCCTGCTATATGATAATAAAATACATCTACATTGGCATTACTCTATAATTATCTTTCTATATGAAAACAATGCATATGTTCAGATTTATCAGATCCAACATATACTTATCCTATCAGTCTGTATATTTTACCTGTATGAAGTATGTATAAAATTATTATATGCTAAATTGTTAATTAACTATAAATTGCATTGCAGTGTCATTTTTTGCTGGTTGGTATTGTAATCCATTACTTTAAATACAGTAAGGACAACTGTTCTTTTCTCTTATGGCAACTGTAAAAATGTAAGCAATAACTGATCAGGATTCATAATTATGCACCAATTAATTAACTGATGATTTAATCTGGTCCCATACAATGGGATATTTCAGGGAGTTGTCAATTTCCATAACAATCAACATCTATTGTACAAGAAAACTATTTTGGGAGATGCAAAGAATACTTTTAACGAATGTGAAAAAAAGTGCTGTGGAATTAATATTTTATTTAAAGATTGTTTTTATTTATCCATTATTGGTTTATTTTATTTCGAGAAATAGTTCTAATCCAAATCACATTAACAGACCAGTATGCAGTTGAAAGCATTGACTTCCTAACACTACATACAGTTGTACTCAAAATGATACAACCCCCATTGAAAATCTGATTTATTGTCAAAATTTACAGACTTTCCACTGTTTGCAATTAACAAATGAAACAAAAGCAATTTAAATAGCTCAACACAACAAATGCTTTGAGTGGTTTCCCAAATTTAGGTGAAAATGCATCTTATAATGACTTCTCCAGTTTCAGAATTATTCAACCCCTGAACAGAATCCTTCACAACAGCACAAATGTGCAAAACAGGTGTTGTCTCAAGCACCCCTGATGAAACGAATTAACTCCTTAAGGACGGCAGGCATACTACGCCATCATTGGGGACTCTAAACACCGGCGGACGGCATTTTACGTCCCCTCCGTCCAGGGGACTTACCTGCTCACTGGTGATCAACCGCTGGCAATTGCGATGGGGGACTTGCCTGGCATCCCAAGCAGTCTCCCTGCTGCCGATTCGGCCCACCTGGACCATGTGATCGCGTGGTCCTTGGGGCAATGTAAAAATGTTTGCATGATAATACTCACCAGAACAACTACATTAAGCTGTAGTTGTTGTGGTGACTATAGTGTCCCTTTAAGTTTGTATCCAGCTCTTCTATAACTACTCTGCTAACTCTATTGAGCAAAATAGAGCATTACCACAAATTGATCAGACAAATATTCTTGCAGAAGATCCTTATCATATTGAAAGCGGGCGAAACACGTTGATGTAGTTTGATGTAAAGAGTGGATTGCGTGTTACAAGCGAACAGAAATTATTCTGCGGCTGCAGTTTCCCTCTGGCTCACCCATGTCGGAGTGTACTGGCAGAGGGGTAACAGAATCTGTCAAAATCTGCTGTTTTACATTGTGCTATAAAGTGTGCTATTTGTGGGTTTTGGAGACAACCACATTTTTATTGTGTAAGAATTCCACATAACGGAAGGGATTTTGGTAGTATAATAAAACAACAATATCACACTTGTAACGGCACCCTCAGCATCAAATAGTCAAAATCGCCGTTTAGTGAATCCTCCCCGCTCGCAATAATACAAACTCCATTCGTATAGATCCAATCATACGAACTGCAAGCAGGGGAATGTGCTAACCTCCCGAACGGGACCTGTACAGATACTCCAACTCTCGAGCGATAAACCCACGAATCGCCACTAACAGCCGAATCACTATATCATCCAAGCGGCTTACGGTTCCAGCAATCAGTCACTAACCGTGTGTAGTAAATCCCCCCAATAACGAGACCAAGCTCCGCATTGAGGGTAAAACAAGAACTGGGTTTACTGTGGGCTACCCACCCGTATTTATGCAGGTCTTCACTTGGTGGACACTCCCCTAGGGGACCAAATGGGAGACTGTAATGG